TGCATACACATAGGTGGTGTGGACTCATAGGTGTGTGATTGATTTTGATTATTGAATAGAATTTTGTGATAAATGTGTGATACTGGAAGAAGATCTTTAGTCTCCAGCATAATGGATTCCTCCTGCAAATGTTATGATTAACCAATGACTGTTTGTGGAAATGTCTAAACAACATGTAGCATTTTCGTCTGAAAAATGCTATAATTGCAATGAAGACTCAGCTTTCACATAGAAGCTTACATATAGGACCACTGCAATGAAGAATCAGCTTACATGCCAATATTTTATGTTATTATTTCAGATTTTGCCCTAGGCACTCAGCTCTGGGCTTTCCCTGGAGACGGTGGTAAGGGGGGGGGGGGCCCTCCTCCTTGGACGCCTAATCTGGGGACAACAGGGACATTTGATTTAGGTTGACATGATAAAAAAGTGTCAAAAGGGGGAATTTGTTGGAAATTAATAAATCAGTCAGATAATTATTAGACAATGTGTTAGATTTAAGCAGTTTAGTAAGATTCAAAGTCTGCTCTAGTCTGCTCTGCTTCAAGGTTAGAAGACAATGTTGATTCTGAAAAGTGTACCTTAATACCAATTGTTTTCTTGTATTTATCTTGTGTTAGAATTATGTCTGAATGAATGTTTTAGTTACGCATCATGTAACAACACACACACACACACACACACACGGAATTCTTCATTTTGTCATGGCCAGTGGCTCCATGCAGCTGGAGCTCTAGATAAGAGAAGGAGATGCCGGACTGTCTCCAACTCATGATGTTTTTATATCTGTCTGTGTAAGGGGTTAGCCCAAAAACTTATAAATGTATTAGGCTCTGTGTTTCCGAGAGCTCCTTTCTTCCAGCAGCTTATCTGAAGAAGGGAACCACCCGGGTTGTCTCTTGTAATTTTATTTGTGGTTTTAAATAAATCAGCACTAAAATGAAGAAAGAAGGACTCCTTCCTTATTCAGATCTGTCCAATAAAAGAACTGGGGTATAACAGTATGTTTTAAACTGTGTTTTAATCAATATATTAACCAACAAATGTTATTCAATGGATTTTAAACTTTCAGAACAGACCACAGATCACAGGGACCTGTGAGACACTGCTTGTGTGAACTGAAGGACATGTTTTTTCTTTGTTTTAGTACTCTGTGTGTTGTTATATGTTCAACCAAATGGCATCCTAGACTTAAAGGAGCCAGCCATAAACAGACAAGAGATTGTTTAGTGTCTGAGGGGTTATCAGGGCAAACCCTCTAAAGTTCACTTTTCCTGTTTAAATCTTATTTACAACTTGATTAACGCCTGGGATTCATCTTTAGGGAGTTCCCCTTCTCCTATATATTGTGATGTTTAAACTAAGCTCATTCAGACAACTCTGTATGCCTATGCTGACTTGTCTCCTTGCTGCACGTAAACCAATCTCTTATTGAAAGATTCCAGTGACTTTGTTGCTTCTTTGAAAATTCTTTTGACAGATGTCTTTTACAAGTAGTGGTAGAAGCATGTGGTGCTATTGCTGAGGGGCTGTCCAGGCCTGGATACAACACTCAAGACTCCCAGAACACACCTCCAAAGTGGTCCAAGTATAGTAGAAACAAAACCAAAACCTGTGACAAGTGTTACACTACGTGACGTGTTTTTGGTAGGTTCCTATAATGGAAAAACCCCTTTCTTTCCTCACGGTCTAGCCATAGAGGACATTGACTGCAATGTTGATAAGGTGCTGTGGCCAAACTCAGCTAGGGAGCATGCTGCACCTTCCCCCGGCCCTTTACTGTATTGTTTGTTTGTTTGATTGCTTGATTACCATATTGATCATGGTAACGTATAGCCACATCTGTGACATGCTGTACTGTGTTGTTGTTGCTTTTGTCTTTTGTGACAGTCTCTTGCAATCCATTTCAGATTACTTTCATCAGAGACGAACATCTGACAGCTCACTTTGAATACCTTTCTCCCATTTTTACAGACAGGGTAAATAGTTTGGACATTTTGGCCAGTGGAACAGCAGCAATATTCGGGACCTACAAAAGGCACCCTAGTCAAGCTACGACAGCATTGTGCTTTGTCGAGATGTGGCTAAATGACTAAACCCCAGATGAGGCATTATGCACCCAGGTTTCCACATCCACAGGGCAGATTGAGCGAAAGAGTGAACCAGAAAGTCAAAGGGAGGTGGAATCTGCTCCTACATACATGAAGGCTGATGCAAATATGTCATAGTGTTAGCAAAAACTCAGAATAAGAACTCAGACTTAGAACCGCCATTCCTTCATTGGAGACCATTTTATTCAACAAGTGAAATTTCCTCGTTCATTTTGGTCGGTGTTTATATCCCACCCCAGGCTTCCACTAACATTGCATTGCAGCACCTAGCCGAACAAGCAACTAGCATAGGACATAAACACCTGGACTCACTACTCATTGTTCTAGGGGATTTTAACAGAGCAGATCTCACCCACAAACTGCCCAAATACAGACAGCACATCAGTTCTCCCACCAGGGACAAAAAAACATTATCCCACTTCTACACACTACTAAAAGATGCCTATTGGTCTGTCCCCCATGCAGCCCTTGGTCTCTCCAATCATGAGCCAATTCATCCCAAGCTATGGACAGAATCTTAAAGTACCCATGGCTGCTCATTTTGCTCATTTCCAGCCATTTAATGTTCAGTTTTGGGTGCCTCTAGATTGGCTTGGCACCCATCATAACTCCATATAGTCTGTAATTATTTCAGAAAGATAAAACTCTTCCAAAAAATGAGAGGATATTTCATTAATGTGTCACAAGTGGACAGCACAACAAACTATGGCAGCATTAATTAATATGAATGTCTCCTCCATAGATAGGTATACAACGGTAATAGCAGAGGATCCCCAAATGCAGGTGTGAAAAACTTGTTGCATCATTCCCAAAAAGACTCATGGCTGTATTAGCTCAAAAGGGTGCTTCTACTAAATACTGAGCAAAGGGTCTGAATACTTATGACCATGTGATATTTCAGTTTTTCTTTTTTAATAAATCTGCAAAAATGTCAAAAAGTTAATTTACCCAAAATTCAACATGGTGTGATGTCAACTTCACATTCTCTGTACAGGTTTTTTGCAGCCCATCAGTGCTTTGTACTGAAGCATACTTGTTGCAGACACCTCTCTTCTTGACATGTCTGGCCCACAAGCCTCAGAATCTGCAGCTTCAGGCCACCAGCAGACAGAAAGTTATGGCCCCTAATGAGATTCAGGTCGTCACACACTCTAAACAAAACAGGTAGTTCAGAAACCCCATATTTTAACTGGCATAATGCAGACATAGGTGTACTACAAAATACATTAAAAAAAAAAAGAAATCTGGTTTCCGCCTGCTCGTCAGCACTGAAAGGTCTGTTGGAAGTCATAAGAAGGTAGTAATGCACTTTGGGAATCATTTCGGGGCGGCTGTGGCTCAGGAGGTAGAGTGGGTCGTTTCCTAACCGGAGGATTAGCGGTTCGATTCCCGGCTTGTCCAGTCAACATGTTGAAGTGTCCTTGAGCAAGACACTGTACCCCCAGTTGTTACCGGTGATGTCACCGGTGTGAGTGTTTGGGAGTGCGAATGGGTGAATGGCCAAATAGTGTAAAAGCGCTTTGAGTGTGCTGTAAAGCATAGAAAGGCGCTATACAAAATATAAGACCATTTACATAGTAACTTCTCCAGCCTTACAACAATTCTCTCTAACGTTACAGGAACAAGGCATTAACAGACATGCAAGATGTTTTTTTTAAACTTACCGTTAAGTCTCACCACACCAAGTAGTGGAAACATTGCTTCCTTTCAAGTAGCTCCAAGGTTGGTAAATCCAACCGGTGGTTGCTGTGTCTTCCCCCACACAACCACATACAGTCCCAAAGTAGTGAAATTAATTCCAACAGGTAGCGTAGCTCCGACAATAACATCATGGGTTGTTAACCGGCAACACATCACATGCAGCAGACACACTGGCCTGAAGCAGTCAAAACAAACAGGTACTGTGCTCCGGGGGAATCCAATGTTGATGAGCTGATCATTCATCACCCCAGGGGGCATCACAGGCCGGCTGCTTGTAGATTAGACTCAATCAGATAAAACAGCGAGACACGCAGTAACCTCAGACCCTGCATTTCTCTCCACATCCTCTGGTCACAGTGCAGCAGCAGGAGGGAAAATATATTCACAAAACTGGGTGCAGTCAAAAAAATTCCTTTCTTACAATGGCACTGGTGGATGTCAGGCAAGCTCACATGAACGCACATCGGCATGGAGATTATGACCATTCAAGGAAATCCTTAAACTATAACGTAATACTTAATTCTGTTAGAAAAACGCCGCGCAAGTGAGAATTTGCTAGATGTACAGTATATAAAATCGCTGCTTCTGCATAGAAATACTAGAAAATACAGTAGGTACACCTCTTTTTTTGCTTTAGGTCACATCTAAGATGATAATTCACCATTGTAACATTGTAGATAAGTCAGAAAACAAGGAAAACATGCCAAGGGCTTTTTAATGATGCAGATCTATGTAAAACACCACATACAGTACAGTGACAGCTTCAGGACCAAGCACTGCTAGTTTTAGCAGCTACCTCGAAGTGCAGAATATGCAGCGCTTGTGTCAAGTAGTCTATATGGAGGGTACCACTGACCTTGCAAGTAGAAACGTTACCAAGATGACACATTTTTTCAGCTGAAATTTTTCCTCTACTGTCACTGTTTGCTCAAGAGGGATTTGTTGGTTTTTCTCTATAATACTATAAGGTCTAGACTTTACTATGTAAAGTGCGCTGGGGTGATTTTTTTTTTGTGATTTGGCACTATACAAATAAATTAAATTGAATAGTAGTAGTAGTCATACAAAAAACCTCTTATAGGAACGTGCTAGTGATTAACATTTTACCATTTTGAATATACCACTGGTATTGTCTGGGATGGCTCTTTTATGTCTGAAAATTTCACAATTTTCTGTGCATATTCATACCTGAGTGAGAATGTATTCACAGTTGCCATCAAAGTTGAAACGCTTATGATCAAAGGTCATGTAGTGTCCAGCACCATAGACAGAGCACGTTCCATCACACTGGTTAGTAGTGCACTGCCACTTCCTATCTTTACAAGTGCTGTAAACAGAGTAGATGGCATCAGGTAAAAGATGTGGCTTTATGTTGGTACTGATGGGGGTGTAACCAAAAGTGTTAAGTATTTTGCGCATCTTTCTAGCTTTGCAACATTTCATTCCATTTGCAATTCACCTACCAGGTATTGCAGTCCACCTTGGTGGTCTCTCCAGGCTGGAAGGAGATGCCATTGTGAACACAGGAACAGGCCTCTGGCTTCATACAGCCTCCTTTACCATCAAATACCATCCCAGATGGACACATACAGCCAGAGGTGCACCCTGTGGTCACCTGGAGAAAATATAAAACTTACAATGTACAGTCATATTGTATGAGAAACAATTAGTTTTGCACCAGAACTCAGATTATCCATTTTTTCTTGATACACTATAAACTAATAATGTTTTTGCCTGTAAATGTTCTTTTATGTTGGGAAAAAGGTGACTTACACAGGCCATGTCTAATGTATTGCAGCTCTTCTCACACTCAACTCCTTTTGCTCCTGGGCCATTAGCAGAGCAGTTGAAGAACACCATGGGAGGAGCACAGGATGCTAAAAAAAATATGTCTGGAATTATCTCAGTGTATTTCTTAATTTTAGATGACATCACCACTGTTGTGCTGAATGAATTCAACATTCAGAAATAACGCAGCACAGCGATGTGCAAAATATTTTACACAAACTATTAAACAAGCAATTCAAGTTTTGGTTTTGTCTCAGCTGAGTTATTGTTCAGTGGTCTGCTCTGGCATTTCAATTGGTAATATTAATAAATTACAACCGGTAGAGCTCTGTGTTATGTAATATGCACAAATGTCACTGCAATGAATGAAGGCCTTTCCTGCTTAGAAGTCTTAAACTATTGTATGTATTGATGGTTGTCATCATCATAAGACTAAAGAATCCAAACACTGTTTATAATTTGTTATTTTTTGGTACTGACACCTATAATTATTGCCAAGACATGCTGTTGGAGGTGGATTTATTTTATCAAAATCTAAAACTACAGTAATTCAACATACAGTAAGACGAGTGGAATTTAATTCCACATTATTTTACTCTACAAAATAATGTTTTTTTTAAATGATTAAAACAATTTGCAAATTTTAAGTTTGTTATTTTGTGTAAACGTTTCTATGGCCATGTCATAACTAGAAATTTGCATTTTCTGAAGAAAATGTGTATGGATGCTGAGTGTTGAAAAATCGCCCTGAAATGTTGAACATTTTGACACCTGAATGCTTTTGCTAGCTGAAAGTATACCGAAGTTGAAGTTGAATGGGGCAAAATTTTCAAAATAAAAGCTCAATATTTCAAAAGTATGAAGCTAAGAAAAATTCTCGAGAAACATGAAGGTCCTTGAAGAGCTGAAAATTTTGATATCTGAAAGTAGAATTTTCCCATCCATTTGAATGGGGCATGATTTTCAAAATAAAGCTAAATATTTAAAATGTATGAAGTTTTGAAAACTTCCGAATAGTAGTATGAATGTCCTTGAAGAGCTGAACATTTTAATAGCTGAAATAGCTGAAAGTATGACGAAGTAAAAATTTTCCAATTCATTTGAATGGGGAAAAATTTTCAGAATAAAGCTTAATATTTAAAAAGTATAAAAGTTACAAAAAAGTTCTATACATCTGCGCAATATCCTGAAAAAGCCGAACATTTTGATACCTGAATGGCTTTTCTAGCTGAAAGTATGCTGAAGTAGTTATGTGCCAAAAATGTACGGAATAATAACAATAACAATAATAATAAAGAAATAAATAATTGGAAAACATAGTATGGATGCTGAATTTGCATCCATACAATAATAATAATAAATAATTGGAAAACATAGTATGGATGCGGAATCAGCATCCATACAATTATGGCTATGTTAAATTATAATTAATTTAATGAAAGAGTGCCTTTTGTGTTTGTTTTGTTAAATGTCATTGTCATATTAGTGATTTATACTGTGAATGTTGTCAGTGTATTGTGGTGTGTAGTGAGAATGTGTAGCTTTGTACTGTAATGATTATTTTGACGTATTGAAGAAGCCAGGAAGAATAGCTCAGGCTATGTCAACAGACAGAGCATATTTTTTATATTATTAAGCCTTTTTTTTTTTGCAAAAGTTGTGTTTCACAGGAAAACAAGCCCTCTCTCAGTTCAGTGAAATGAGGAAGTAATGTAGGATTCTGATCAGGCTGGTGATTCTGTATTATGCTACTTACATGGCTGAATCCTAAACTGTCCAATGCAGCTGAGTTTTCCCTCCTTACAGGTGCTAGTGGAAAAATATTAAAAATATACAATATTCACTAAATACATAACCCCATAATACACAGGTATAACATAACATATCTTTGAAATATCTTATCACAAGAAAGCCAAAGAACAAAAAATACTCTTCTAAAGGTCTGCAATCCAAAAGTAATGAATACTCTTCTAAAGGTCTGCAATCCAAATGTAATAAAATATAATATAAAATATTAATATACAAAACCTTCTGGTCAAATCGATTGGCATTGTACACTCATTTGAACATATAAAATTACATACAAATCATATGCAGTAACACAATATAAAATGTAAATTGTGCGATATGTAATTTTCATACCACATCACCCCTTCCTTGTTGACAAGCTGTCCAGGAGGCACCACTGAGTCTTTGTCATAACAGGGACAAGCCTTAGATGGGACACAGTTCCCAGAGTCATCCAGATAGGTTCCCTCTGCACAGATACAGCCGTCGATGGGTGGGAAGGAGAGGTGACAGCTGATATCTGTGGTGCTGATGCAGCGGCAGGTGCGACTGTTAGACGTGATGTTGTAGGAGTAGACCATGCTACTGGGGCAGGAGTTGGCATATTTCCCTA